ATAAATTGATATTATTTAATTAGAAAAAAAGTTTATGTGGTATTTTTAATTATACTATAAATAAATATTATATAATTTGTGAAGTTAATAAGTAATAAGAGGAGATAGAAACCTTCAACAATAAACCCACTCATCCTTAAATTATGACACAATTACATTTATATATTGTTTGGTTATTCATATGAAACTTTCATTAATTATTATTATTTTACTAAGAGTATTTTTTCTAGAACTTTTGAATTATCAACTTTCTTAGTTATAAAAAGGAACATGAATAAAAATTTATGGCATGTTTTTTATTCGTTTTAAATAAAGTTTGAATTAATTGTCTCAAAACTTTAAATCAGATAGGAGCATTTATTTTTAATGAAACCAATGGAACAAACATCAATATACTCTTTTGTTAAATCAAAAAATTTAAAAACAGAGTTTTCATCTATTTTTGGTCCATTGGCTGAAAGAAGAAGACCACAAAAAATTGAGGATGTAGTTGGACAATTAAAAGTTAGAGACGACATTATTCATCAAGTTACAGTTTTAGGAAGGGTTGATTCAATGATTTTCTTTGGACCACCTGGGTGTGGGAAAACAACATTCTGTAAATTGATTAAAAGGCATTTTGAAAATTCGTTTATTGAATTAGATGGAAATTCAGTTAATACAAACATTGTTAAAGAACTTAAAGGTATTATTAAAAAAAACAAAGAAACAACACACTCTCAAACTATTATTTTTATTGATGAAATTCATTGTATTAGTTCAACAGTACAAAACTTTCTTATTGATTTACTTAAAGAAAAAATAATATGTTTAATTGGAACAACAACCCAAGTCCCGTCGTTTTGTCTTTCAAGAGAATTACTTCTCTTTATGAGGGTTATTGTGTTAGAGCGATTGAATGAAGTATCATTAAAGGAAATTATTAAAAGGGCAATAAATGCTGAATATTCAAAGTACATAGTTAGTGATGAAGTAATTGATAAGATTGTTGATTCAAGCGATGGAGATGGAAGAATGGCTTTAAATAATTTAGAAAAATTGATTCAATACGCTGAATTGGAAAAAGTAAATGAAGTTAGTATAAAATTTGTTCAAGAAGTAATTGGAAAAAGAGCTCTTAATTATGATAAACGAGGAGATGAACATTATAATTTAATAAGTGCATTTCAGAAAAGTATTAGAGGAAGTGATGAAGATGCTTCAGTTTATTGGTTAGAACGTATGATTCTTTCAGGTGAAAAACTTAGTTATATTACTCGGAGGATGTTAAGAATAGCAAGTGAAGATATTGGAATGGCAGATACTAGTGCAACAACAGTTATATCAAATGTTGCGTATGCTGTTGATGTTTTAGGATATCCTGACTGTAAATGTTGTTTACTTGAAGGTGTTTTATATTTAGCAAGAGCAAGAAAGTCAAATTTGTTAGATACATTAGACTCTTTAGGAAGATCTTCTAAGAAACAACAATACTCTGTTCCATTGGAAATGTCTTTGATGAGTAAGCACTGTCTTTTTAAATCAAAGAAATTTTCTACTAATGAAAATGTTCTTCGACCAAAACCTATTATGAAAGAAAAGCAAATGGTATATTCTCGATTTGTAAGACCTTTAGACTATGAAAGCATCCTTCCAACACAACCACAACACTAAATTAATTTATTTTCTTATTTTTTAGTAACATAATATTGATGAAAGATTCAGATAAAATTTCCAATTATTTATGACAATATTGAAATAAATTTTTTTAAAATTATATATCCAACAACATTATAATTTCTTTCTTAGTTTCTTTGAGTAATATTAGAAGGGTGTTAAAAATAAATATTAAAGAAATTGTGTTTAATAAGAAAATTTATTACCGAAAAAAAAATTCAACACTTTTATTATTTATTATTATAAGGTTGAAAAATATAAAATTCTATATAAAATAAGTTAGGTTGTATAGTATAAATTTCATTTTAAAGCACTTTTTGGAAGAATAAGAAAGGAATTTTTTGAAATCTTATTTCTATTATATTTTTCAATTAAAAATTTTAAAATTCTTTTTTCTTAAAATCCACTAAAACAGTTTTTCTAACTCTTTTTAATAATAAAAGTGGAGTTATTCAATATTCTAAAACAGAAGATATAAAAATACTCACAAAATCAAAGAAATCTAAAAAATAAGATGAAAATAAATAATGACAATACCTAAAATAGTTAGCATCATTATATTAATTATTCCTACTGTACTTTCAAATGGGATAAGATATTGTGAAGCAACAGGATCAGAGTCTGATCATTTTTGGTATATCAATTATTTAAATACTTTTGAAATAATTTTAGGGATTGTTATATTAGTATTTACTATAATATCAGTTCTTCCACAAGCTATCAAAATTATTAGAAGAAAAAATGGAGAAGGATTATCTCCAACTTATCTTTTACTTATGACTTGTAATCAAGTTTTTGCAGGAGTAAATTCTACTATTCTTAATTATCCTACAATGGCAAGCTGTCCTTATATTGGTGCTAGAAAATGTTTGCCACCTTTATTATCATATTTTCAAATGATGTCATTAGTAGTTTTAGAATTTATTATCTTTGCCCTTTATTTAATATTCTTTAAAACAAAAAAAGATAAAATTTATATCAGAGCAATAATATTCTTTTTATTATCTGTAACATTTTTAATTATATCTATATTATTGGTTTTTATTAGTATATATTGGATAGGTGAGTGCCATCCATTTACTGATTGGTTTGCTTATGTATTTGGAATTTGTTCTTCTATTGTAACTTTTGTTGAATATTTACCGCAGATATGGAGAACTTTTAGAACAAAAAATTGTGGTTCATTATCGTTAACTGCCAATTCAATTCAAACACTTGGATGTTTTGTTATTGTGTGTTATATGTTTTTTTCAACACAACAACATATAACAACATTAGCAACATATATTGTTTCATTTATTCAACATACTGTTTTAGTTGTTTTACAAATAAAATACGATTATATTGATAAATATTGTTGTAAGAAGAAAGGTTCTGATTATAATGATTTTAATGTAGAAGAAATGAAAGAAAACAAAGAGACAGGTTCAACACACAAAAATGAATTATACCATCAATTAATTAATCAAAATAAAGAAAAAGAAATTGTAATTGAACCTGTAAAAGAAGGTATTAATGAAATTTGTAATGAAATAGAAATAGAGGATGAACAAGTTAAAAACAGAAATAGCGATGAAACAGAAAATGAATTGGAACAAGCTGTAATGGTTGATAGTTAATTAATACATCTCATAGTTTTTACTTTTTGTATTTCTTTTTTTTTGTATTTTTTATTAAAAAACTTATAATTTATCAGACAATGGCACGAAGTCAAGAAAAAGCCCATTCTATGCTTAATAGATGGAAATTAATGCAAAATGATCAGGAAATAGGAAACCTTCAAATTAAACCTAAACATCCAGATCAATGTAAAACAATACAAGCAGCAAAATATTGGAGACAAATGATTATTAAAGAAATGGGACAAAAAGTAAGTGAAATTCAAAATGGTACTTTAGGAGAAAATGCTATTCGAGCATTAAATAATGAGATAAATAGTTTAAATAAAGAAAGAATACAGTATGAGCGTAAAATAAAACAATTAGGTGGTGTTTCTTTTGTTTGTTATTAATAAATATATTCTTCTATACATAGTTTCTTATTATGTTAGGGAAAAAAAACAAAAGAGTCTGATGAGTTTACTTTCTTTGGTGCTGCTCAATATTTACCTGAAGCAAAAGAATTACAGAAAAGAAATAATAGAAAATTAATGTCAAAACAAGACATACAATTATTAGGGGAAGAGTATTATGGAATGGATGACTATGAAACTAATGATTTATTAGAAGAAGAGCTTTCAATACAAAATGAATTAAAACAAACTTTACAAAGTAATCAATAATGAAAATCAATTAGACTCAAATATTTCTTTATATTCTTCAAGTTTTTTAATAGTAGTTAATGCCTCATAGATTTTATCACCTAACTAGTTAATTCTTCTTATCCTTTTTTGTCAATAAGAGTTAACAAACTAAAGTCACATTGTTCACAGGATAATAGATCAAGGCTGTTTTCTCCTTTTACTAGTCCAGTAATATCAAATAATGTTTCACTGTCACAACTTGGAATACATATATTTTCTTGTGTAATTGTAATTTCAACCCCATTAACATTCATTCCAATTTCACCTGGCTCTCCTTGAGATGCTTGTACTTTACCAAATACACGTACTACTTTATCAAAGTAATTTCCAAAATCTTGTACATCAACAATAGGAATTGGTTCTGTTTCCATAGTGTTTTCTTCGTTTATAAAAATCCTAGTTCTTCTTTAATTTTCATCTTTTTCTTTAAATTGAGGAAATTGTCAATTTTTGTTATTTTATTTTTTTCACTTTATATTATTTGTTATTAAAAAGACTCTTGTCATATTTATAAAATCTTTAAAATTTAATCAATGATATGACATATAAGAATAACTCTATATGTTAAAACAAAGAACTTAATGATTGTATTTAGTATTAATATTGTAATAGTAATTTCGATATAATATTATTTTCCATAAATACAACTATAATGCAAATAGAATATTTAACTCCAACAGTAAAAAACTAGTCAAGGTAATCCATGAAGAAACATAAATAAATGTGCTAATAAAAATGTTAAGAATAAAAATAAACGATAAAACACTAGAAGAAGATGTAATTAAGAAGAATGGATTACCAAAACAAGGTAGTGAATTAGAAAATAATAGAGGTGGAGAATAATAGAGAATAAGGAGATATACACACCAGCAAGGAAGGATCCAAGAAGAAACAGATGATAGAAGTGTTGGATCGATTCAGGAAATTACAGACACTAAAAGTATGGTTGGAATAAATTGAGAATATAACAAGAGAAGACATTGACTAAAAGAATAATCAAAAAGAAGAAAATTTTAAATGAATATATGTAAATCCATTCTTTAATTGATAGAAATATTGATAAAACACATGAATGTTAAATAAATAATAATAAAATGAAAGAAGTGATAAAAAGAAAGTTAAGAAAAATAAGATATAAAGATAAGAAATGAGAAGAATAAAAGAAATATAGAGTAAAGATGATAAGATGATGAAATAATAAAGAATAAAGAATAGAAATAATTATAACAATAGTTGAATGTTAATGAAAATGAATGAAAATGAAAAGATTTTAGAAATATGATGTAAAAGAAATAATAAAAGAGTATTTAAAGAAATATAATAATTAATATAAATTGAATAAAATGAATAATCAAATAATCAAATAGAATGAAAAAGAAATAATAAGAAAACGACAAATAAATAATGAAGAAGAATAATATAAAAAGAAATGAATAAAAAGAATGAAATTAATGAAAGAAATAATATAATTGTATGAAATAACAAATCAATAATATATATCAAATAATCAATGAAATGATATACTC